GCCCCGCGGAAGCAGGGGGAGGCTCCTTGGGAGCCTGGCGGGAAGGGCGAAAAGCCGCCTGCCCCAGCCGTTATGGGAAACCTTCACTCGCATCCCAGCGAAAGCCGACCCGGAGATCAAAATCCTTCTTTGGGCACCAACGACGACATCGAGGTACAAAGACCCCCACGGGGTCCGACCTTCACTCCGCAGGAGTGAGACAAGAGACGTGCCGTACAGGTGACGTCTCCGCTGGTGGCACAGCGCGCTGCCCTCCCAGACGCGAGGGGACGTCCATCCCCGCGCCGCGGGCACGAGGCAGCACGGACCAGCAGCTCTGGCGCAAACGCTACCGCTGAGATGAGTTTTTGGAAGCCGATGCACAGCCGGCTGTCACCGGGACGCAGCGCTTTCAGCGGGCCGCGGGGCACCCGGCGGCTCTTGCGGCCCGTTCCAGCACTCACTCCACAGGCGACGCCGGCAGAGCCAGTGCTGGGGTAAGGCGACGCTGCCAGCGGAGCTACACGGGCTTAAACCACCGAATTTTGGTTGTTCCACCTCTGGGTCCCATCGCACCCCCGTCCCGTGATCCGTACTGCGCCACACCGTCACTCCCTCCTGGCTTTCCCCCGGAACGTGGCACTGGTTTCCTACAGACGGGCTTACTCGGTTCCCAGAATAACATCGCCCACGGCTGCTGGAGCCATAAGCAACTATCACCTCTAAAAAAAACCCGCAGGAAAAGCAGTTCCTTTAGCATCAGTTCCCACTCCCTTCGGCTGCTGACGCACCGCAGCCCCGTGAAAACGCACTCAGACACCCGCGTGTGAAAACACCACGTGGCATCTTCCTCTCTAAATACACATTCCAGCTTCCCGAGAAACCGTCTCCAAAGGCACAACTCACTAAGAGGCTTCACGTTCTCAACCAAACCGTTACGTAACCGTCCATCTGCCACCATCCGCGGCGGGGCGAAACGGCGTCAGCCATCGGCATTGAACTGGGAAGCCACAAGGCCTCCCCGGAAAGGAGCTAAAAGCGGTCAGTGTCCCCCCTTTGGCTTTTTCTCTGTGCCCTGTTTTCCCACATGTGCAAAATCTCAGCCTCCATCAGCCCGTCCTGGAACACGGAGCCCGGGAGAAGAGCGACGCCGAGGCCGCTCTCCTCCAGACAGGCTGTGCCGCGCAGTACCAGTCAGACCGTGCGTCAGCTCCCCAGAAAAATCCCAACATCCCCGTTTATCAACAAAGGCACAACGCTCCCGCCTCGCCCCTCACCCAAACTCTCATTCCTGAACAGAAACCCTGGGATATCTGCGCAACACTCTCACGTTGTCCCCCGGAGGCGTGCTCCCCTCGCGCGTTTCTGCAGTCCCATCGGTTCCCACGTGCTGCCACGTCCCCGCGACGTTCATCTCAGATCACACACACACACGGGGTTCGTTTTTACAAAAGTTTTATTTGTCCTGCGCCGTTTTCAGAACTTCTGGAACTGCTTCTTGGTACCAGCAGCCTTGGTGACTTTGAGGACGTTGAAGCGGACAGTCTTGCTGAGGGGACGACACTCTCCCACGGTGACAATATCCCCGATCTGCACATCCCTGCAAAGACACGGCCGGCATTTCGGCGGTTGTCTCCGACATTCGCAGTCGGTTTGCTCCGTGGCACAGGCACATGCCTTGTGTGAGGCTACCGAGCAACACGGCACTGAGAGCCACCTTGGACATCTTCCAGCACCTAAAAGGGCTACGGGAAAGCTGGAGAGGGACTTCTTACCAGGGTGTGTAGTGACAGGACAAGGGCCAATGGCTTTAAACTGAAAGAGGGGAGATTTTGATGGGATCTGAGGGAGAAATTCTTCCCTCTGAGGGTGGTGAGGCACTGGCACAGGTTGCCCAGAGAAGCTGCGGATGCCCCATCCCTGGCAGTGTTCAAGGCCAGGTTGGATGAGGCTTTGGGCAACCTGGTGTAGTGGACCAGGCGTTGGACCTGTCCTGTCTGGCCTCAGCGACTACTCCAAACCCACCGCAGCGTGTCACCCCTTCCCAAGGATGGGAATGGCGCACGGCCTCGGAACAGGCTGACCAGAACCTGTCTCACGGTTCCGCA